GATGTTATTAGCCTTTTAGAGTCTTTGGGTTCACTATAAGTGGGGCAAATCTGTATATGGTGTTAGTTTTTGTTTGTTGTAGAGATGATATTTGGACTGCTAAATAAAGTTTGCCTCTCTTTTCTTGTGTTAATATTCTTAATTTGTCAGATTTGGGATACAGCTAGTCAGGAAAGATTCCAAAGCCTAGGAGTTGCTTTTTATCATAGTTTTGATTGCTGTGTTCTTGTGTATGATGTAAATTCAATGAAATCATTTGACAATCTCAATAACTAGAGAGAGGAATTTCTGATTCAGGTGTCTTCTTTCATCTCTACAGATAGATTTCTCAATTTTTTATTAGTTATAAAGCAACGTTTGAGTGATTTTGTAACTTGTAAGATTTGTGATCACCTTGGTAGGCAAACCCTTTGGATCCTGAGAACTTCCCATTTGTTGTTATAGGAAACAAGATAGACGTCGAAGGTGGAAACAATATAGTGATACGTATTTTCCTTGACTTCATTTTGCTCCCAAAAGAAAAAAACCATCACCCTGACTTACACACATTAAACTCATTATGTCTATTACTAAATAGATGAACAATGCTAAGAAGTTCTTGCATGCAGGTTTCAGAGAAGAAGGCTTGAGCACGATATGCATCAAAAGGAAATACCCCATATTTTGAGACATCAGTCAAGGAAGGCATTAATGTAGAAGAAGCATTCCAGTACATAGTAAAGGATGCCTTGAAAAATGGTGAAGAGGAAGAAATGTGAGTCGTTAAACATGAATTTGTGTTTGAGTATGCTTTGAGGCAAAAGTATATGAAGATGTTGCCCTGGTTCTGATATTAAAATGGTGTTATATTGGGGAGCATGCTTTGGTCTTATTGGTTTTTGACTTTATATTCTGTTGTCTCTTGGAATCGAAAGACAAAATTATGACTGATGTATGATTAAGGGTAAAAATGAAAGCCACCAAGCTACATCATAATCAAGAAATGAAATGCTATGAGAACAATAATAGTCAGCTGTAAGATGATAGTATCTACTAGATAGCATTATTGTTGCAATAAGTAATGCATCCTCAACACTATAAGACGTGGTAAGAAAATTATATTGAATAGGTTAGGTTAGTAGGATGTCTTAATAATTGTAATTAGCCAGTGCTTATCAGTGTATATCTCCAAGTCTGCTCATTGGTTGGAACATCTTTGTAGCATTATTTGATAGACAATGAACCATTATAATTATTTTGTGTCTTATGTGTTTGAGGGCAGATAGAAATACTCTGAAATGATACTGATGTCTCTCTTTTGTTTTGTTCTCTATGTGATTTGTGCTTGCTGAAGATACTTGCCAGACACAATTGATGTTGCAATAAACAATTAGCAGCGTTCGACAGGATGTGAGTGTTAAACATATTGCTTTTCCTTTACCATAAACATGAAGTACATTACTTGAAACTAGTCTATTCAACCATTACTGGCCATGAGGCTTCACTGTACACTAATATTTGCTTAAAATTCAAATTTCTCTAGTGGTATTTGTTGGGTGCTTGTCATGTTTACGGACATGTTGAATAAGCTTGTTCACTTTGTCTTTGGTATTCGAATATTGTCAAATAAAAGTTATGAGATAATTCTATGGTCATCTGTCTTTTTAAGTTTTCAAAATATATTCAAATGTTGTCAAGATTTTATTTTTTATACCTCACTCCTTGCAGAAGAAACTTCTAAGCAATTATGGTGGCTGTTTTGCTTTTCTCAACCCATGCGATGGAATAGAGGTTTCATTTAATAATAATAATAATAATAATAATAATAATAATAATCATCATCATCATCATCATCATCATCATAGTAATTGTCTATAATAACCAGAATTGGGTTCGGGAGTCGGTTGTGCATGGGGAAGGTATTAGGCACCCTACGACACCCATTCGTAAGAACGGTTACCCTAAGTTGATTGTGTAAATTAATCGGCCTTTTAATAATATATTAGTTATCCTTTATTGCACATGAAAAATAAAGGTAAAAAAATAAAAGAAAATAAATTATTTATTTACATGGAAGGACTTGACCTAGGATTAAAGCTTAGGGCCTACGTACCCTGTAATGGGGATAAAAGTCCACGTAGTTTAAATTATTATTATTTAGGTTTTCTTTTAATTTTTTTAATTTATTTTATGAAGAGAAGATTATTTTGTGTTATATAATTATATTTATTTTCAAATAAAAAAAGACATAAGGATGTACCTTTGGATGAAAGAAAAATAGCCAGTATTGAAACTTGCGATGATTTAGTATCACTCATAGTTCGCTGGTTGACACTCTAAGCGCACACGACGATTTAATATCGCTCATGGCAAATCCTAAAAGAACTTTCAAAGTGAATAAATTAATTTTAAAACTTTAAATATAAAATTAGATGCTTGCAATGACTTAGTGTCATTCATGATATCTCATTTGATACTTTTAGAAATCCATGGTAATTTAGTATCATTCATAGGATAACCTAAAATATGCTAAAATTTTTATTATTTTATTATTTTATTAATAATGCATGAGAGAGAAAAATTTAACAAATATTAGAACCTGCAGTGATTTAGTATCACTCGCAGTCCACTAGTCGATGCTTTTATGTGTACACGGTAATTTAGTATTACTCATGACAAACCTTAAAGAATCTTTAAAGTGATTTTTTTATAGAATAATTTAATTTTAAGATTTTAAATATAAAATTTAATACCTACGATGACTTAGTGTCATTCATGGTATCTCATTTGATTTTTTTAGAATCCATGGTGATTTAGTATCACTCATGAGGCAACCTAAAATATGCTAAAATTTTTTTATTATTTTTATTATTTTGTAATAATACATAAGAAAGGTGGAACCTGCAGTGATTTAGTATCACTCATGGTCCATTAGTTGACGCTCTAGGCGGGCACAGTGATTTAATATCACCCATAACAAACCTTAAAGAAATTTTCAAAATAAATTTTCTATGAACTAATTTAATTATGAAAATTTTTTAATTGCAAAAATTGATACCTGTAATGACTTAGGGTCATTTATGGTATCTCATTTGATACTTTAGGGATCCATGATAATTCAATACCACTTATGACATAACCTAAAATATGCTAAAAAAAAGAAAAAAGGTTATGCCATAGTGATATGATATTACTCATGAACTTTTTATTTTTTATTTAGAAAAAATGAAAAGCTATGAGAATTATTTTTTTTTTGTCATCATGACCTCTGCCTTTTGCTAAGGAGAAAAATCTAATGATTCATTAATCAAAACAAGAAACTCACTCCATTATGTAATAAAGTCCCAAGAGTGAATCTTATCACAAATATTAAAAAACATGTGTCTCCTTTAGTCTCAAGCAAGTACGGGATCACTTGTAACACATAAAGATCAACCATGTAAAAAAAAAAATTGTGAATGAGGTTACAGGATGTCATGTGATGATCAAACCAAACCAAGCATTAGAATACATGGCCTCAAACCCAACGTACAAAGCTTCATATTATTATTACACAAGAGTGTATAATCTAAACCTAAGAAGCTTTTATTTCAAAGAGATTTTGCCGACTAAGCACACAGAATTAGGAAAACATGGAATTAAAATGAGATCGGTTACCTTTCAAAGCTTTGCCTGATATGTTTTGCTTCCTCCCAGTTTTCCTCTCCTTTTATCCTCCCCTTAAATCTCTTCTCTATCCCCTTTTATAGGTGCTAACTAGGGTTCACTCACTTAATGATAGAATCAAACAAAAAAGGCAATTTCTATTTTGACTCTTTTTCATTATTTTAGATTTCAAATTTTTCCTTAATTAGTTAAAAAAAATTCAATCAAGGCATAATTTCCTCAAATCAAATTTCAAATATTCTAAATTTCCTTTTTAAAAAAGTCAACTTTAATGGGAACATAATTAAGGGGATTTGGGGTAAAAAAATATTATTGTTATTATTATCATAAAAGCCCTTCCTTTTTTATTTCTTTTATTCCTTTATTTCATTTATCATGTTTTTATTAAGTTTTAATTTACACTTGAAAGCTCGGGCAAAATACAGTATTTACAATAATAGTAATGATGGTGGTGGTGGTGGTGGTGGTGGTAATCATAAAGATGGGGGAATACTCATCTGAAGATAAATTATACAAATATACAAATCTCTGTAATCTTAATATATATATATATATATATATCTACACACACAACATTCCAGTGAAGTTTTTAGATTGAAAATGGCATATTCTGCTTGTTTACAAAGGGGGTGCTACTTTTTTTTTATTTCTTCAAATAAATAATTTTGACGAAATGCTAGTTTTCCATAATAAGAATTCATTAGAATGGATTTTGTATATTTACAAGGAGTTATTTTCTTTCTTTGTTTTTGGGGTACAAGTGCAGAATGGATTTACATTGATGGTATATTGACATTGAATTATTCTTTTTGGTGCAAAATTTTTAGACTGTCTTTTTCAAGTTAGCAAAATAGAGGCTATGAAAATTTTCACTTCCTTTTCTCTTCCCTATTTAGTTTTTCTCCATGGATTCTTCACTCAAAAGTTCAAAACGTTTCTATAGTATTACCAACCATTTCTTGGAATTTTTAAACAAAATTGTATACATGCTCCGTCTTGTAGAGTTGCGTTTTAATTTCATTCTACTTATAAATGGATTAGCCTTTTTACCTTATTAAGGTCAACATTCTGTTAATTCTAAACTGTCATTCATAGCAAGGAGCTAAAGGGGGGAAAAGAAAAAAGAGGAGCACAAAGCTTGTATTATGACACATAATAGCTTTATTTAATCACGCATAATTTTGTTCTGATAATTTTTTCATACATGTTCCATGAAGCATAACAAGCCATACCATATTACACGCAGTTATAGAGCTTACACGTACAACCTTAACTTTCATACTTGAGAACTATTCTTGCTGTTCACTTATTCAATATATAAATGGACACATTTGACCTAAGGTCAATGCCATTTTTCACATCATCATTGCAAGCAGAGATGGCAGGTCTTTGGTAAATTTGTTCTCTTGATGGCCAAGATCACCATTGATGTACGAAGTAGCACTTGGTCTAGGTTCAAAATCTTTGGTGTATATGTTTTCTTGAGCACTAAGATTGTCGTTGCTATAAGATGTTGCACTATGTCTTGGCTCAAAATATTTGGTGAATTTATTGTTTTGACCACTAAAATCACTGTTTTTGTAAGATGTAGCACTTGGCTTAAGCTCAAAATCGTTGGTAAACTTTTCCTTATGGGTGCCAAGATCGCCATTGTTGTATGATGTAGCACTTTGCCTAGGCTCAAAATCTTCGATAAACTTTTCCTCATGATTGGATTGCTAAGATCACCATTGTTGTAATGTAGCACTTGGCTTAGGCTCAAAAACTTTGGTAACTTCTCCTGGGCACCAAGATTGCTGTTGTTGTATGATGTAGCACTTGGCTTAGGCTGAAAATTTTTGATAAACTGTTCCTCATGATTGCCAAGATCACCATTACGTAAGATGTAGCAGTTGGCCTAGGTTCAAAATCTTTGCTAAACTTTTTCTCTTAGGCATTGAGATTGTCGTTATTGTATGATGTAGCACTTAGCCTGGGCTCAAAATCTTTGGTAAACTTTTTCTCTTGGGCACTGAGATTGCCGTTATTGTATGATGTGGCACTTGGCTTAGGCTCAATCTTTGGTAAACTTCTTCTCCTAGGCACCAAGATTGTCGTCATTGTATGAGGTAGCACTTAGCCCAGTCTCAATCTTCAGCGAATTCATTTTCTTAAATGCTTAAATCTCCATTGTTGTAAGTTGAAACACGTGGCCTGGGTTTAAAAGTTCTGCTAGATGTTTTCTCGTGATTGCCCAGATCACCATTGTTGTAAGCTGTAAAAATAGGTCTAGGTTCAAAATCACTGTCATGAGCGGCAATAATAGCAGGTTTGGCTTCAATATCGTGTATGAACATCTTTTCTACCAAGACCCTCACTTTTATCACATTTGTGATTCAATATCCTTCAACGAGATCATTGTGGGATTGAGGTTTTGTTTCAGATTGAATCATAGGATCATCATGAAGAACGCCTTGTATTGCTTGAGGCATGGCCTCATCTTTCATCACCATTGTCCAGTATTCAGCTGGATCTTTTCTTGACGCTCCTGCATCTGCCAACTGCACAACAAAAAGTTGGACAATCATAATAAACGTATGCTTTTACATGTTATTTACCAATAAAATTTTAAAGTTTTGGATATATATATATATATATATTACGAAAACGTATTAAAAGAAAAAGACATGCATTAAAAAAAACAAATTAATCAAACTACATATGTGCCCCCCACCGGAAAAAAAAAACAAAAAAAAAAAAAACGTACAAGGTTGAATTTTGTGTGGTCATCAGAGGAAGTTTAAAATCTGAGCTATATGACTAAGCATTTGAACTTACGATAATAGGACATCATGTAGTACGTACATATATGTATGTAAGGAGAATATAATCATAGATCCTTGTACCTTGATTTTTCCTTTTAATTCTTGAAATTTTATTTCACTGTTCTTGGTTCTGTTAGTTTGATTTGTCTACAACATTAGTCTTTATAAATTTAAAAACGCACACAAGAATCATGAGCCGACATCGATGAAGTTAATTTTGTTGACATGCATTTGCTTCTCTCAATCCATTTGTTGATGTGCATTCAAACTTGCTTTCATCTCTCACATTGTTTTAGTCAAATATATAAAAAGTTTTTTCCCCCATATTTACCTTTAACTTGTAATCTTATTTGGTCATTCCACTTCGATACTATCAACATGTTTTTACCATATTAGTAAATGGGTTGGTAGAGTTATAGCAAAATTATCTCTATTAGTGCTAGCTTATGGTCTTTATGTACATTTTTAAAACTATAAATACTAATGTTGCAGATTGATCAAACTAAAAAGAATGGAAACAATAAAATAAGACTTGACTAGAAATAAAATGTCATCAAAGTATAGAGATCTACTATGATGTGTGTGCCCCTAGTCATTATTCATTTTTTGGTAATAAGTAAAAGTATGTTCTTGGCTTATCATAATTTGAGAAGTACTGCAACAGTATTTCCGAAAGGTATATCTATAAATCTGAAAAATAATTATTATGCAGTAAATTTATAACATTTAGAACCTCCTTTTTTTTTTAATAAAGAAACATTTAGAACCTCTTAGCATTGATGAAAAAGGGTGCCTTTTAACCTAACACCGTTGGGGTAAGAAGATTGAGACGAAACTTGAAATTACTGGAATAATTAAATATAAAGAGGCGAATTAATTAATAGAGGACTTATTAAAAACATAAAAAGAGTAGAAAAACATACCAAGAAAAAGAAGAGAGGAAGGAGGGCAAAAACTGAAGCTCTCATGTTTCGGAGCAAGTTAGAAATTGAAGTTTGAAATTTCTGTGACTCCAAGTCTTGTGGATGCATGGAAATGTGGAATGGAATGTAGCTCCATTGTATTTATTGGCAACGAGACGTGTTACTTGCACCTTTACGTATAGATTAATGGAAAACCTAGACGTTACGTAATATAGTTAGTCTAGACTCTAGAGTAAATTAACTGACACATTTTTCTTATTACATTTTTTTAAAAGAAAAAATTGCTATCATATGCATTGTTGTCAAACTCTGAGTTGATTCTCCGAGTTTATCATTTCTACATTTTTAGTCAACTTATTTATAAATTTAGACTAGATAAAACTCAATTAAACTTGTGAGCTAACTTTTTAAATTTATCATTTTTATATTTTTTGCTTATAAAATTGTATCAACCTACTTATAAACTCATTGAACCAGATAGATATATATTTTGTATAATTGATTCATATAAGTGGTAGGACCTGTTTCAATAAAAAAATAAAACTTGAAAAAACTCAAACTAATAGTAATAAAAAAAGAAAATAAAAGGTATAAAAAATAAGTTGCCTAGTTTGGAAATTTTTATGTTGAGTGTAACAATATATGAATGTATATGGATTTAATTTCAATAATTTATATTTAAATTAAATTGTGATCATATTTTATATTTTAATTATTTAATTATATATTTTAAATGTTATTTATTAATAAATGTAAATTCTTATGTGTTTATGATTCGAGTCTACAGTTTGAATTTATATATCTGTCATGAGTTTACTTAAACTCACGAGTTTAATAACCTTAATGTATGCACTTTTACTCTGATTGGCCTTTTCTTTTGTACAATTAGGGATTAGGGAAAATTACCTGCTTTGATTAACATGATGTCTGTGTGTGAGAATTTTTTGAGTCAGTCAATATGAGTTGGTTGAATTATTGATTAAAAGTATTAATAAGAATTTAATGGTAACACACAAAATAAAATAATCCTAGAATATCTTCAAGGATTTGTGGTTAAGAGTAGAGATCTTGTATGTGTTTTGTTTCATGTCGGTATATATATCTTACTCATCATTAGTTCATTACCCTTCCTCGCTTTGGTTGTTTGCAAAGAAGAGGGCCTCAGCGTTGCCATAAATGAACTCGATGATAGACACTGTAAGCATGTTTTTAATCCAGTCCTTCAAGGAGGGAGCTTCTCTCTTCTGCACCAGCTCTCCCCCAACCTCCTCTAATTTTTAATAATATTTTATATTTTATAGATTTTAATTTTAATTTTATATTTATTAAAATAAAAAATATGTAAAATCTTTAATAAATTTGGTCATTGTTAGACAGTTCATTATTAATTTGGATTGTCCAAATTGAATGTTAAATTTTTTATAAATTAACTATGCAGATTTATTTTGGATAGTTTAGATTTAACATTTTAAAATTGTAATTTTTTAAAAAAATTGGGGAGTGATAATTAAGAGATTATCTTTATTTTTAATATTTTATTTATCAAAATAAAAAATTAAAAAATTAATGTTAAATCTAGATCATCCAAAATAAATTTGCATAATCAAGTTATGAAAATGAAAAAAATTTTAATATTAAATCTGGACTATTTAAATTAAATATGGATTCTCTAGAGTGGCGATGACCAGATTTATTAAAAAATTATTTTTTTATTTTAATTAATATAAAATAAAAATAAAAATGGAAATAACAAATTTTAAATCTCAACACTAAAAATCAGATATTATTATTAGAAATCTAAATGATATAGATATTATTAGAAATTAGAGGATGCATGGAGGAGAGGTTATATGGAGGAGAGAAGCTAAAGGCTTGTTTGGCAATTTTCTCTTAAAATAGTTTTTTGTTCTTTAGAATAAAAAAAAAGTATTTGATAACAAGATTTTAAAAAATAAAAAATTAAATATTACTTTAAAAATATAAAAATAAAAATATTTTTTAAATATTTTATGATTATTGTTCTGTAGAGTAAATGAAAATATGAAAAAGATTTATTTTTGTTTTTTTTAAAACATATTATTTAAAATATTAATTTTTAAAATAATAGAACAAACACAGTTTCAAACAATGCCTAGCTCTTTCAAGGAGAAAGCCCGTAATAATTACCCAATCTCTTCAAAGTTCAAACTGTAAAAAATACCACAATGATCCAATCTTTTATTCGTTGGTGTCATTAAAAGCATGACATACTTTTTTTTTTTAATTATTATAAAAATGATGAGAATCGGCGCGACTGGGTGCCCGAGAAAACGAGAAATTTCCCATGTTAATGCAAACATGCAGTTAAAATTTTTTAATAATAATTTAATATAAAAAATTACTCAATATAATTTATACTTATTTTTATTTAAATTTTCTTAATTTTAACACAAACTTTTTACATTATTTATTTAAGTATTGTCATATTTAATTATTTAAAATTTTTTAAATTTGGAGAGATAGTAGGCAATTACATCATAAAGGCAAATTATTAATTTTTAAAATTTTTAAAATAATTACAAATAAAAATAAGTATTTTAGAATCTTTGATGGAATATTTTTAACAATGTTAAAGATTGAACCTAAAATGTAGGTTTTGAAAATATAAGGGTGTTCTTTATAATTTTAGTAAAACAAAAAGGATCTCACTATATTTTACTTTATATATTTAATTTATTAATTAAAGATTGAAGATTTCTTTCAATTTAATTGACAACAAGATGAACATAAAAATATTATGAAAATATAAGATTGTGAGTTTGAACTTGACCATTTTTTAATTGAAGTAAATATATGATGAGGCATGCCATGTGGTGATGATATAGTAATAAGGTGACATTAATTGATTGGGTGGCATGGCAACATTGATGTTTTGGTGGGACCAAAATTTTGCAAGGTATTAGTGACATAAATGCATTCTATTGTAAAGTTGGACATGCTAATATAGTGTTAATTTTATGCGCTGTTGAAGCCTAAAAAGATAGGACCGATCCTGATTATGTTAGATATTTAAATATGTAACATTATTTGAAGCTTCTCTTTAGATTGGGGTGGCCATTGTTGTAGTCCAAAAAGTTGGGTTAACTTTGGTTTTATTGGCTCGCATAGGATTGGAGTGACAAGGTTTGTTATTTGTCACATCTTTAAGTTAAATGTCAACTAGAAGTGACAACGATTTATTATATGTCACATCTTTGGATTAAATACCAACTTCAAGTGACAATTGCCCATCCATTCATTCTAAGCAAGTCTAGCTAGTTCGAAGTCCCATTGCACATTGACCATTTATTTTCTCCCTTGTTTTGTCCTGGGGAGAGTTCATCCCCGTCTTTTGTTTTTGCATTCCTTAATTACTGTTCAATTGCAAGGCATTTAGTACCTACCTATAACATATATATTTTCTTTATTTAAAAATATAAAACATTTTTAATTAAATTTTTTTCAATTTTTTTTTTCAATTAAGTAGTTATCTTTCTTCAAAATAACACTATCTTTTTATATTTATTTCTATTTAATAGAATATTTTATCTTAAAATAAATATAAAATAATTTATTCAACAGCGGCACTTTTAGAAAAAAGGGTATAATTATACCTTGAAAGATTAAAATATATCTTACATTTTTTAAAATTTAATTTTTTTTAAAAAATGCCTTATATTTTTTAACGGATGGAGTATATAATTAATTATACAATCTTCGTTCAACATTTCTATAAATCATGACCACATGTTGCAGTAGACATTCAGAGTAGAACTCGAGCTAACTCATCAATGGCGACCATGTCTGCGCCGGTAGAGCAAGTCCTTCACATGACGGGCGGAGATGACGAAACAAGCTACGCCAACAACGCTTTAATAACGGTACAAGTCTCCCTTCTCTCTACTTTATAAATCTATTTATTATATGATTTCATGTAAAAGTTATGATTTTTGTTGTCTTTTATAAGCAGCAAAAGGTGATGATGAGAGCAAGACCTATACTTGAAGAAAGCATCCAGAAGATGTACTCCACCAATCTTCCAATGACTTGTTTGAAAGTGGCAGATTTAGGGTGTTCTTCGGGGAAAAATGCGCTTTTGGCGGTATCTAACATCATCAAAATTGTGGATGAAATGAGTGACAGGTTGAAGGTTGAGACACCCACGTTTCAAATCTTCTTGAATGATCTGTTTGGGAATGATTTCAATTCAATCTTCAAGTCAGTGCCAGAGTTCTATGAAAGGATAAAGCAGGACAAGGCAGAGAAACAGCATGGTACAACATGTTTGATCAATGCAACGCCTGGCAGTTTCTATGGCACTCTCTTCCCCTCCAATTCTATCCATTTCTTCCATTCCTCTTACTCTCTCCATTATATATCTCAGGTCAACTCTACCTCCCTTCATATGATTTAAACATATCTGTTAGTTTAATTTCTGGGATAATAAAACTGTTTAGTCTTGCAAGCTTGTTTCAATTATTAATTTGATTGCTCAAGTTTAAATTTTATCGATTTAATCTCTTAAATTTGCCTCAATCATTAATTTGGTTCCTCAATTTTATTTTATTAATTTAATATCTTAAATTTATTTTAGTTATCGATTTCATCCTTATTATTTAAAGAACACATAATACTGTTAAAATATGTTGACTTGAATAACACAATATTCATGTAGCCATGTAAGCCAATAAAATGACATGTAATTATTTAGACAGGAAAAAATAGATTAATTTTTTTTTAAAATGAACAAAACATAACATAAGGGGTTAGATTAATATAAATTAAACTAATTTAAGAACTAATTTGTTTTTATTTAACTATATATATACATGCCAACTCATTAATATATTTTATATATTAAATTAATTTGAGAGTCAACTTAATTTGTATTTTAAACTTACAGAGTTAATATGATAATTTAAGAAAACAGAGGGAATTAAATTGATAATTGAAGATAAATTTAAGAAAATGACAGTACGATTACCCCTTAACTTTTGAACAACACAATTCCTATATTTTTCTTCATATTTTGTTCTGTTTGACCAACATGATCAGATAGTGATACACCACCTACTCTTTTATTTGCAAACCAGGTATACGTACGTTTATTTATATATGTATTACATCGAATAAAATAGTTTTCTTGTTTTCAAATACCAAATATTCAAATAACAGCTTTATCATGATAAACAAGAGTCTGAGTCTTACGCTCTTTGAAAGTTTCAAAGTTTACTTTGAAAAGACTAAAACTAAGATAAAAGGACATTCTAAGAGTTCAGTTATGTAGAACAGTTGCATCAATACTAAGGTTGAATTATGTATGATGTTGGAGATGACAGGCTCCAAAATGGTGGAGTGATGAGGAAGCAAAGTTAGGAGATGATGAAGATAACAATATTTATGTGACAAGCAACAGTCCTCCATCATACTCTGAGCAGTTTAGGAAAGATTTCAATTTGTTTGTAAGATCACGTTCTCGGGAATTGGTGCTTGGGGGTGGTATGCTCCTCACATTTGCTGGTAGATATGATACTCCTCAAGATATAACTGCTCCGGGGCTCATTCGTATGATCCTCAATAACATGGTCTCACAGGTAAACTCATGGTTATAATTATATATAATAACATTGGATTAAATTAATCAGATTAGATTAACAATCATTTTAGCATAATGAATATATATATATATATATATATAGAAGACAATAAAGGGCAAGAGGGTCGTAAATTCTTCACTACCCATCCTACCTAATTTTATTGCTAATTTGCTATATTCATCTCACAATTTTGTAGAAGTTTTCATTGTTGTCTACTTAATTAGCACAAAACCTTTAAAATGGCATATTTCAGCTTCTAATAAATTTTTTTCCAGATAAACTTTTATATCCATATCAATGCTTCTTTTTTTTTTATATATTTAAGTTTGAATGCAAGTTTTTTTAATCATAGCTTTGAAGTCATATTGATACTTCTCTACATTTATATAATATGGAAATACCTGGTAGGTTCCGGGAAGAACACGAATGATGGCTACCATGTCTTTGACCATGTGCCCTGAAGTCAAAAAAATTTGAATTCTTTCTATTGGATAATTTCTCCATTTGTCTTCATAGAAAATTGTAGCCGTTGGATCTGGATTTGATGGTCTAGATTCATCATTGAATGATTCAAACCTCTGAAGCTTTAGTGTGATTTTTAAATAATTATCAGCTAATATTAGCTATTATTTTACAATGAATTATTGGATTCAATCATTAACTAATATATTATCTGCATCCTCAATAATCCACATCCAAAATATGATCAAAATATCAAAATTAAGTTTGTTTTTGTTGTCAGTTTTCTTTAAATATAATCAAATGTTGACTATATTATATTCCAATTCTGCAGAATTTGATTGAAGAGGCAAGGTTGGCGCATTTCAATGTGCCATTTTATACTGCTACAGAAAACGAGGTTAGAGAAATAATAAAAGGAGAAGGGTCTTTTAGTATTGAAAGATTTGAGAGCATCAAAACAAGTTGGGATGGATCGAGCCTAGATGAAGAAGGCATAGAGAGTTTTGAGGATGATGATGAGAGAGGGGAATTCGTAGCCAGATATGTAAGAGCAATCTTTGAACCTCTTTTGAAGGTACATTTCGGAGAAGGAGTCATGGATGAACTCTTCCTTAGATTTAAGAACAAGGTTATCCAATTCCTGCCCAAGTTGGTGTATAATGCTTTCGTCATATCTCTTGTTAAAATTGCTTGAATGAGAGTCATACTGACATAGCTAAATGTCTTTCAATAATCAATAATCTAATGCTAGTTGGGTGTGGAGAGCATCTTGGGATGAGGAGGACAATACATGTGGGCCTATGATTTCAAGAGGATGCGTAAAAAAAAAAAAAAGCATTAGGGGAAAACTATTCAAGTCTTCCCATTAATGGAGATGAACTGTGTTTCTTTGTTGATTTTGCTGCTGTAACTATGGTCCATAAGTCAAAGTGTTGTTTGGATATTTTTAATGAATACTTGAGAGTCGTTTTATGTATTTTCAGTATCTCTGCGTCGTTCACGTCAAGCCAAGATACTTACTAATGTTCTTCACATGTGTACTTGAGCTATTGGTTGAACACAGATTTAATTTGTTAGTTTCTTTTATTTATAACTATTGATTGAAATTTAATGAACGTGAGTGCAGCTAGTTATATTAATTACTGAGTCACTTTGGGCCTTTGGCGTATTACATAGCAGAGAGGATAATGTTCTATTAGGGATGGAGAGCAACGCTTGGGAAGAGGAGAGAGGAGAGACGGGCAAGAATAGCATAATGAAGCCATATTTTAACTCAAAACCTCAAAGCTCAAGTTTATAGGTCATTTTCTTTTATTTTATATTAGTTAATAAGCCTAATTTATTTGATGTGAAATTTCTCACATTATCTTTAGTCCACCCATACTTAGACAACCTAATAATTTCCCCTCAAATGTGAGTCAACAAGCTCTCCATATCAAAGACGCTCTAAACACCAAGTCTCTGTTTTTCAAGGCCAGCCCAATTTTCAGGCTTCAAAAAGTGTGATGCATATAAGTCCCTATTACAATCAGGGTCAATCCTATTTTGGGCTTCAAATGTGTGCGCAATAACAGGCTTACAAGTCTCGGATGAGACCTGGCTCTGATATCACTTGTTAGAAATGGGGAGCGACCGCCTGGGAAGGGGAGAGAGGAGAGACATGCAAGATTAGCAAAAAAATATCACATCTTAACTCAAAACCTCAAAACTTAAGTTTATGAGTTCTTTTTCTTTATTATATATTAGTTATTAAAACTAATTTTATTTGATGTGGACTTCTCATATCGTCTTATGTTCACTCACATTTAAACAACCTAACATGTTCATGATTAATCTGTGTTTAAATTAGAGTTGGCAAAATTGAGTTTGGATGGAATTTATTTTGGTAACTTGATTTTGATTAGAATTGATTTTGCTAATTATGAGCTTATATAAGTTTTTTTGTAATTCAAATAAGCTTATAAGTTTAAACCAGAAAAAAACTTTGGTTTCAAAACAGAAAAATTTGGCTAATTATATGCTTATAAATTTATTAATATTGTATATCATCTTTAATTAAATTTATACTTAAAAGGTTTGAATTTGGAGTTTTGTCAAAATTAATTGGAGAGATTTCATCAATTCAAAAATTGTGAGATTCATGAGGAGTAGAAGAAAAAAAGATAAAAAAGGCAAGAGCTTGTAGCATGAAATAGTTCTCTCTAAGTCACTCATTTATTTTGTTACATTTTTCATTTTCAACTTAAAAACATAACAAGCCACACCATATGTATTACTTGCGATAATACACACATAGCATACACACATGACCTTTTTAACCTTCATCTTCAAAAGGACTATTCATCCTCTTCATCATTTATTCAATAAAAGATAGACACATTCAACCCTAGTAGGCTTGAAGTCACTTTTCACATCATCACTACAAACTGAGTCATTGGGTCGAGGTTCAAATCCTTGGTCAACTTTTTTTTATGAGCATCAAGATCATCATTGTTGTAAGATGTAATACTTGGTCTAGGCTCAAAAGTAGAACTTTTTTCTTGAACACCAAACTTGTCATTATTGTAAGATGTTACACTCAATCTAGGCTCCAAATTGGTGATCAATCTTTTCTCTCTAGCATTCAGATTGCCATTGTTGTAAGATGTCACACTAGGCTTGGGCTCAAAATCTTTTGTGGATCTTTTCTCTTTAACACCAAGATCACCATTATTGTAAGATGTTACACTAGGCGTGGGCTTTAAATCTTTTGTGAATCTTTTCGCTTTAACCCCAAAATCGCCATTCTTGTAAGATGTAACACTGAGCCTAGGCTCAAAATCTTTCGTAAATCTTTTCTCTTTAGCACCAAGATCACCATCATTATAAGATGTAACACTGAGCCTAGGCTCAAAATCTTCCGTGAATCTTCTCTGTTTAGCACCAAGATCACCATTGTTGTAAGATGTCACACTGGGTCTAGGCTCAAAATCTTTCGTGAATCTTCTCTCTTTAGCACTAAGATTGCCATCTTTGTAAGATGTCACACTGGGCCTGAGCTCAAAATCTTCTATGAATCTTCTCTCTTTAGTACCAAGATTGTCATTATTGTAAGATGTTACATTGGGCTTGGGATCAAAATCTTCTATGAATCTTCTCTCTTCAGCACCAAGATCATCATTGTTGTAAGATGTCACACTTGGTCTAAGTTTAAAATCTTTGGTGAATCCTTTTTCTCTAGCACCAAGATCTCCATTGTTGTAAGATGTTACACTAAGCTTAGGCTCAAAATCTTCAGTGAATCTTTTTTTCCGAGCACCAAGATTGCCATTATTGTAAGATGTTATACTGGATCTCGGCTCAAAATCTTCACTAAATCTTTTCTCTTTGGCACCAAGATTGCCATTGTTGTAAGATGTCACACTTGGCCTAGGTTCAAAACCATCATCATAAGCTGCTGTAATGGTGGGTCTAGCTTCAATATCTTGTATGAATATCTTTTCTAATGTAACAAGAGCCTCACCTTCATCATCACATTTGTGATTCAATCCTTCAACAAGATGATTGTGGGATTGAGGTTTAGTTTCAGATTGAATCAAAGGAGAATTATGATGAAGAAGGCCTTGTATTACTTGAACTTGAGGCATGGCCTCATCTTTCATCATTGTTCTCCAGTATTCACCTCCATCTTTTCTTGAGGATGCAGTATTAGCCACCTACTCCGAACCCACAATAAGTTGGACAATAGTATAGTATTAAATTAGTTAATTAATTAAAAATTTGGGATATATACCACATATTGCAAGAAAATGTATAAACGGAAAAGTAGACATGCAATCCTAATACAATCGAACAAGTTAATTGCGATATACCTATTATTTACGTTAACTTTTGGGCCATTTATACTTAAATATGCTCATTAATTATGCTAAATTAAAGCAAAAACCATATATGTATAGTCTCACTAAAGTCATTAGTTGTCAAATTTTAAGAAAGAAAAGAAAAAAAAAGGACCCAAAAATGTCATTAAAATAGGATATTTCATATTAAGGATCTCGAATAGACTCAAAAACTCTCAACTAGAGGTGGATATACTATCAAGGAACTCAACCACAAGCGAATGAGTGGAAAAATCTACGATATCCCTCGCTTCAATTACAACCATGCACAGACACACTATAAAGAGAGACGTCCGCATGCGGATGAAACAGAAACCAAAAGGTCTCTCGCCTCACATCTCATCCACGAGCGGACAAGAGTGCACTGAGCACGACCGCACGCGGACGACACGTCGTGAGACTGATCGACAATTCAACATGCCCCCACAAACAAAAGTTGCAAGGTTAAAAGTTTTGTGGCAATCAAAAGGAAGAGCAGAGCAAGGATTTTTAATTAGTTGAAGGGCAAGATTACAAAGCAAAAAATATATGATAAATGAAGAAAATATATCCACTTAAAATATGAAACTATTTACGATATATATAAGATAATATAAACATTTCAACATATTAATATTCAACTTTTAAAATATCTAGTTAAAAAATTTGTAAATTTATTCTTTAATTAAGTTACGTACGTCAATACTTCTTGATATAAAAATCATCAATAATCATAGTATTGATAAACTTTTAGCAATCTCCTTATACCATCATTTCCTCATCAGTAAGAAAATCGTCCTCTATTTCTTTTTGGACATTTGTTGTGGAAATTGGATTCTAATTAATTCAATAGAAAATCTCACAAGCAAATGTCCTTAGCATTAAGAGAGTTATTTTTCCTTGAAGAGCGCACAATTTTCGGATCCTAAGAATGAATTCAAGTCATTAATGCAAAGGGATCGAACGTTTGCAATCTTGTTAAAAAAAATTTACTTTTCAATTGAAATATGAATTGTAACATTTTGAGCTTGATCTGCTCAAAAATTTTACTTTTCAAGTCATTTAATGAATTTATATCAAAAGCTTGTGGAGATTAAAAAGTCTGGTTTCCTATTCATGGATTGATATTTTTTTTTATAGCTTGTATTGACTCTTTTAGCATTATAATAGAATAAAATTTTCATAATCTTTTTGGGGACCGAAATTTATAAAACCATCTCTATAAGGTGAGGGAGAAATAATCACGCATTCAATTGATACTGTTTATTCTATTTGTGTGAGAAAAATATTAGAAAAGAAGGTCTCACATCCAGTTGTAGTTAGAAAGTATATCACAAATATATAAAGCTTATGATATTCTCTAATCCTTTTTACAAGTTATTTATATCAATCTCATTAATACTAATATTAAAAAAAATAAAAGAAATAAAAGTGTGTAAGATTTTAAATATGCCTCTATATAATAAATATAAAAAGTGATGTTATGTTACTTTCTTTCTATCATGAAATATAATTTTAAAAATAATTTTAAAATATTATTTAAAAAGTTATACCGTGACTTATAAATGGGAATGAAGGAAGGATTTAACTAAGTAAATTAATTAAGTTAGTTTGGTAAAATAGAGAATTCTCAAATACACTTAATGTAAAAGTTTGACAAGGAAGAATGGTGTCTATATCTAGAACCTCTTAGTATCTATCCCTGAGGTAAAATGATTATAACGAAACTTAATTACAGGAAAAATCAAATGGAAGAGGCGAATTAATTGACAAAAGAGTAATTACAATACAGAGGAAAGAGTTAGATAAAAACGTACCAAGAAAAAGAAGAGAGGAAGGAAGGCAAAAGTTGAAGCTCTCATGTTTTCAATTATAATTTGGAAACTTTTGTAATTTCTATGAATGGATGGAATGGAGAGGATATGTAGCTTCATTGTATTTATAGGCAAGGAGACGTGACGTGTGCATCTTCATGTAAAAATTAATTAAAAATGTCGACAATAACATAATAATTGAAAAGGTTGAATATAGTGCAGACGACACATATCAGAAAATTACATAATTTGATTACAATATATATGCCACTCCATTTCTTAAAGTCAGTTTATGTGAGTTGGTTGAATTATTGGTTAAAAGAATTGACAAGAATTTTAGTTTATGTTTAGAAGATGGAGTCATTTTGAGATTGTTAAATTATTTAAGTGTGAGTGGATTTAAGATGATATAAGAAATCTCAAATAAAATAAAATTAAATTTAATAACCAATATAAAATAAAGAGAAATAACTTATAAACTTGAGTTTAATTTTGAGGTTTTAAGTTAAAATGTAGCTAGTGTCCTTCCATTACTCTTATTCATTTCTTCTCTCCTCTCATGTTTAGGCCATGGCTCCCTATTCCTAATAGAAATAAATTAATTAAAAGAGAAAGGGGGAGGAGAAGGTTCCTTAATTACTTCTCGTTTAAGAAAAGCATTAATTCTTTAGAATTTTAATTTTTGTATGCCAAACAATAAGACAGATATCCCACAACATATGTTTCCTTTGTTGAATCTTCCTTCACTTATATCAAACTTGACCTATGCATGACTCATGCCTCATGAAATAAAATATCAAGCATTGGTGTGTTTCTTGAGAAGCTGATGTCATGAAGAAGGCAATCCACAAAGAGTTTTGACTAGCAAAAGATTGAGTAAAATGTCATAGAATGGACCTGTAGGGGATATTGGCTCTCAAATGTGAATGTGTGGCTATAAGTCTCACATCGAATGGTTTTATAAGAAAATAGGTTTAATTAATAAATAATAATGGGCTCACTTGCTCTATAGGCATGTCCTTTGAGATTAGTTCTCTTTTTAAAATTTGTGCTTGTAACATTGGTCCTTACTCAATTCATTAAAGAGGCAAGAACTTAAGTCACTTATTGTGAATAATAATAATTAAATATTTTTTTATTTTAACCACTCATTTTCTTGATTAATATGATATGATGAACTGCTGTGATTAGGACATGTATTGGTCTTGTTTCCATTGAGTTGAATATTCTTAAATTTATGTTCAACTAAGATCAGTAGAGATTTCTGTATGTGTTTTCTGTTCTATTATGTATGTACATGTGTGTGTGTGTGTGTGATTTGTTATTCTTCACTTAGTAGCTCTCGCACACTTAAAGAAGGTGCTTAGTGCCATTATGCATGGCTCAAGACCACTAACTCTGAAGGTATATCTGTATTATGCATTTTGGTGATAGAAGTAATGAATTAAATTTTTGCAACATAAAGAATATTTATATTCTCATCACTATCATGGACACTGTCCTTTCTTTTTTTGGTTTACTTAGAAAGAGGAGGGTCTCTCCAACTTGAGGTTGAGGGTATGTCTTCTCTTCTTTGTATTACAGCAGAGATATGAAATGCACTCACAGCAGATAACGAATTTGATAGTTTGATATTATTGAGTAATTTTAATTTGTGAAATTATAAATTAAGTAAAATTAATTAAGAAAAAAATTCTTGGAATCAATATGGGTACGTGAAAGATTTCAGACCAGTCCCGCTTCAAATATTGAGAGCGTTTCATCACGCTCTGGCTTGGACATGGGCCAAATTTCCATATAAAACAAACAAACAAGCCTTATTGACCAGGATGGGCAATAATTATGCATTCATTGAATCATGGGCAACATAGCAAGTTTTATTATTATTATTATTATTTTTTGTAAGCAGGCAAAATATTTTTTTTCTTGGAATTAATATTTATTTGGTATGAAAGTTACCTGACGAAAACTGACAAACAAATCCACACAGATGGGTCATAATTAAGCATGATCAAATCATGGTCATGCAAAATAACAAGTTTTTCAGTGCCATCCTAACAAATTATTATGATCAATATATATATATATATATATGTGTGTGTAATTTCTTTGATCTTTTTTATAAATCACTTCTAACTAACTCAACTCACCAAAATCAAGATGAGTTAGTTAGAATAATAATTTTGTCTTAAAAATAAATCACTTTTCAATTTTATCCCTACATTTAAAAAGAGTGATTTGATGAAGAGGAAGGATCTTATTTTAAAATTGAAATATTGTACTTTTAAAAAAAATTGAAGATATTTCTGAAATCGTACATTAAAGATAATGAAAATTAAGAGAAAGTAACTTATATAAAAGATAAAGAATTTTTTTTAGAATATGACTTATAAAAATAATATGAGAGTATATTTCTCTTTCATATCTGATCTATGAGGAAACAACTTTGTGAAAACACGCAAAACTTGAATCCAAAAAGAAAACACTCATTTTATTTACGCGCAGCATCATCATGTTGTCCTGCATCTGCATACATTTATGTACACACCTATATAATTAGGATTACACCTTTGGTGGGTCACCATATATCTTCCACTTATTTTCTTCCTGATCATCTGAAAGCTCAAGAAAATTAATTATTGGTATATAAATGAATTCGATGAGGAAAAGTACAAAAGCACGCTTAACCCAATGAAAAAAAAAATCAGTGACTAATTGTGATTAAAGTAATTTCTTAACTTTTGAGAAATATTATATCAATAATCATATCCGATATGTTAACTAGTAGTTTAATGGTCGGTGTTTCTAGGAGAACGACAACTCATGAATTATTAGATTCTCTGTGTACAAAGATGTGTGCCGTGGAAATAAATAATGATATTCTTTCAAATTTGAATAATATAAATTATAATAAGTTTAAAAAATATTTTCTGGATAAAAACTATTTTCATTGACCACGCTGTCAGAGAAGCTAACAGATATGTATAGACTGGATTCTTAATCAAACAGATCATATCAACATTAAATATTCATGTTGTTAAAATCATTAACGACACTTCTATATATAGGATGTATAGATTTTAATTTTACTGTATGACTTGTCCTAAATAATTAGTTTGCTCTTGCATAATTGAGACCGTGACACATGTTATTCTTAAAAAAAAAATAACATTAAAGAAAAAGAAGAAAGAAAAGAAACACGTGAGTCTCATGATATCCCGTTGAGGATGATTTTTTGGAGTATCCGATTATCAGATTATGGTTAGGTTACTAAAGAAAGATCTTGGGTCGGACACTTTTGAACAAATTGTATTAATTTATTATATATATTCTCTAATTTATTAACAACCCATACGTAGTTGAACTGTTGTATTGTCGTTTATGTTTAGTGCCTATTAACTTTGTCTTCAAATTCAAAATTCCGCTCCTGTATAATTAAAGATTAAGAAAAAGCATATGTTCCATCTCCATAATTCCGTTAGAACTTTATTTCTAAATTTTACTAAAAAAAATATGCTAATTAAATTATATAATAATTTATGGATATATAGAAATAACAAGAAATATCCTTACCCAAAAAAAAAAAGAAATAACAAAATATATGGGGGCCGAGGAAAATTTTCATGATCAGTCCAAACTTGAAATTGTTGAAGCTGAAGTTCGAAGTTTTTCTGAATGTTGGATATTGGATATACATGACAAACGAAAACTGACGGAACAAGCCTACTCAGATGGCTAATAATTAAGCACAATTCAATCAATATGGTAAAGGGTGGTCCCAATTAAAGGAAAAGAGTTAGAAATAGAGTCATGCATATAATATGCAAATTAAAATAACAAATTTTGATTAATTATTAGTGTGGTCCTCTCTGTCATGATAAAATTATTCAAGCCTACTTGTCCACTCACACTCAATAATTTCAGGAATAAGGTTTTTAATTATACATAATGAAAATTGACTGTGCTGGCATGTATTTGTCCTCAAAAGTCATTATCACCCACTATAAAAAAAAAAAAAAACCTAATGCTCGGGTGGCATTTCTTTTGAGGCGTTTGTGAAAAATGCCACCGGAGATGTTGCTATATGACAGCATTTCTCTTAATAAATGCCACCCGAGCAGGTGCTTTCTACGTAGGGGCACTTGTTTTAAATGCTTCTTATCACTCCAAATAAGTTCATGTGTTATTAGGGAATTTTGAGTTTAATTTAGAGTCATCTAGTAATTTTGAGAGAAAATGAGACTATTATTTGAGGAAAAAAAAAGAAGAGTGCTTTTGAATATGAGAAGGGAGAATTTGTGGTATCTTGGTGAAATGAATGGATTACTTGAGCTCAAATTTCATTTATGATGTTATGTTATGTGTAAGGTAATCCAAATTAAAAGTGAAAATATTATATGTAAGTAAAGATAGAAGATGAAGAAAAGGTAGGATTTACACTACGGCATCTCTAAATTACACTACAACATAATACATGGTGACAATGATAGTGATAGAGTGGTTTATGCCACAACGTAAGTGTTAATTAATGAAATGCATAGCTTTATGACAAACTGATATTTTTAAGGTTTTGAATATTTTTGCTCATCATTTTTTGTCTTTGCTCGTCTCTAACGGCTACAAATTGATTAGGGAAGAGAAAAAAATGTCATAGATGAAGTGGAGAAGCTTGGGTTTCATGGGAGATTAATGATTTTTATCTAAAATCACTCTAATTAAGCTTTTAATTTCTTCCCTTTCTATTCATTTTGATATATTCTTTGTTTAGTTTTGCAATTTTCAAACTTATATGTGGCTGATTCTTTTAGAGACCTAAAGGAACTATAAAACTATTGATAGATTAAACTCAGTTTTACTCATTAGTTATGCTTAGTGTTGATTTTGGTTGCATAATATTTTGCTTTATTATATTGTCTAATTGATGCTTAGCCACCATTAAATATAATTTTGGGTGTTGGAATTTTTTCTTGACAAAGGAAAATCTCATCTAGACCATTGAATTGAATAATATGAACTTATATTTTTATCTAATTTGTAATTGTCTTATATAATTATTGTAGAGTGTCCTTGGGTTGAGTTACCTCTTGGATAATTGTGTTAGAAATAATATAATTAATTTAAGAAAGGGTTGTTAGTAGATTAAAAGACCCTAATAGCTATTAACATTGATCTCAATTAACAAAATTGGCTTTGAAATTAATTAATTGACTTAAATTGAAGTCTAAAAAGTTCATAAAGTATTAATGATTCTAGATTGCCTTTTACTCAAGAGGTTGTTGGATTTAAGCTTGTCGTTGAGTCTTTATTAAATTCAATTTTCATTTTAGTTAATCAATCAATTTCAATTAATTTTGCTTAACGTAAAGAAAAAATGAGAATTTTAGTGCCTAATTGCTATTTTGCTTAATTTCTTGTAAGATTGAACTTGACACACTAGTATATTGCATATTGGCTCGTGAACTTATGATGAAATATCTTGTGTGCATCATGCCTCCATTGGAGGTGTTTCTCTGTGGGAACTCCTCCATAGTCAGGGTTTTAAACTTACTATGGGGTGTTCATTTTTACACTTTTTTTAATTAACTAGAATAGTCACCAACTTACAGTTTTCTTTTCACTGAAGAATTCCTTTCTCTTTTGAAAGATCAAAGAGAAACATTGATATATACTCCCTCTGAAAATATGATAAAATAAAAAAGGCATCAAGAAACCTAAAATTCCATTTCAGAAAACTATGGAAACCGCACCGTTCTGAAACATTCTTTAATTTGGAATGGTATACATCTGAAAATGATTTTATATATTGCCGCCATTTTGCCCCTTGGTTTATTCATTTTCTTCGTCATGTTTCTATGATAAAATTACTAAATTAACAACAATTGTTTGAATAAATTTAAAATTTGAGAAGAGCTAGCAAAGCTTGATTCAATTACGTGGTAGATACTAGCTAAGGGCCTCTTTGATAGGAACTAGTGATCAGACCCAACCTGGTTGTACTTTCTTCTACCGACCAAAAATTGGGAAAATCACAAGTAAGAATCCCTAGAGACAATTAATTTTGCTACAAGATCAAAGTACCTACTTTTGTTATGAAAACATAAAAATACCCTTTATGTGTATATTATTATACTTTTTAATAACAACTTTCCATTAAAAAATAAATAAAAGAGAATTACAACCAAGTATCATACAGAAAAATTAATTATTGTAAGGTTCACTGATAAATGAACTAACTACATTAACAAGTTGTCAATGTAGTTTAGTTCAATTGTCAATAAACCTTACAGTAGTTAATTTTTTTATGTAAGACTTTACTATAATTCTCCCAAAAAACAAGTCTCATTCATATTTTAACAATAATTAATTCTCATATTAACAATTCTAAAAAAATAACTTAGTAGTAGAGAGAAACAAGTGTTGTGTTTTAGTGAACAAATCCCCATTCAATAAAAAAAAAGTCTCACTTCAATTTTATCAACAATCAATTTTTTTATTAATAGCTCCAAAAAATTAACTTGGTGGTGTAGATGAGCAAGTATTGTAATTCAAGGAACAAGTCCTCATTTGAGAAAAAACATGTCCCATTTTCATTTTAATAACAATCAATCTTTTATTAATAACTATAAAATATTAATTTGGTAGAGGAATTATTATAATATATGAACATGTTTTCAGTGGAGAAAAAACAAGTCTCGTTTCTATTTTAACATCAATTCCCCCATTACAACAAAAATACATGAGGGATAGTTTTGTCTTTTTCACAACAAATTTTAATTACATTTAGGTCTTTTGTTTCTGTACAATAATATCAAAATCATTTTGTTCTGCAGTGTAATTAATTTTCCCCAAGGATCTTTATTTCCCCCAAAAAAATTGAGGTTGATATGATCATAGCCATCCTTAATTATTTGGATATTGATTCCGTAATATTGAACAACGAATCAACTTAAATAATGGAAGGCTCGTTAAAATAAACATGGATGAGGGACTCCTTTTAGTGTCAGCACTTGTGCTAATCGGAAAACACGTAATTTATTTAAAATTGGATATCGTCGCAACCTAACCTTCACAGGAAAAACTGATTATAGTCTCTTTCTTACCGTTTCTATATGTCTTCGAGGTTCACCTGAGGCCTTTTCAGAAGTTGAACAGAGACCTCAAGGATTCGTTTCATACTAGAACAATCATGGGTGTGACTGCCAAGTTTAGATTTTGGACCGTCCTCCTTCATCTTCCAGTTATCATGGTTAAGTTATTTACTTTACTTGAAACTCTGTTAACTTGATCCCTGCTTGGTTTCTGAGAAATATGGTTTTCTTTTGCTTTCCTTTCTTTCTCTCAAACCAATTTGCAGAGTTTCTATGGAACTGAAGGAGCCATGGAAGAAAGCAAGTCCTTGCATGGAGGGCATATGGACCCTTCAGTAATGGTGTTCTTCACACTGAAAGACCTCAAGATTGGGAAAAGAATGCCCATTCATTTCCCCAAGAGAGATCCTTCGACCTCCCCAAAGTTTTGGCCCAGACACGAAGCTGATTCAATCCCTTTCTCCCTCGAGGAACTCCCAAACCTTCTGAATCACTTCTCTTTTTCCAGAGACTCTCCTCAAGCCAGAGCCATGGAAGACACTCTCAGGGAGTGTGAGAGCAAAACCATCAGAGGAGAGGTCAAGCTCTGCGCCACTTCTTTAGAATCCATGCTTGACTTCACTCACAGAATGATTGGCCCGCAATCTGGAATCCAGGTGCATGATGGATATTAACAACATCATCGTCAAATTATTAGAGAGCAGTGTTAATTAATTTGCTTTTGTTCTGCATCAACAGGTATTCAGTACTTCTCACAAGAGCAAGTCCAGCGTGAATTTCCAGAACTACACAATCATGGAAGTGCTAATGGAGATGCCAGCACCCAGGATGGTGGCGTGTCACACAATGCCATACCCTTACGCTGTGTTTTACTGTCACAGCCAGAAAAGTGAGAATAGGGTTTACAAGATATCATTGGCCGGTGATAATGGAGATGAGGTGGAAGCTATGGTTGTCTGTCACCTGGACACCTCCCAGTGGAGCCCCACTCATATATCCTTTAGGGTTCTCAAAGCTGTTCCGGGAAGCTCTTCTGTGTGCCATTTCTTCCCAGCAGATCATCTCATCTTTGTCCCTAAACTGCAGAATCAGGGCTTTTCAAGCATGTGACTTTAGCAGTGTTGTATACATTGTTTCCTGATAATATATTTGTGTGTGTGTGTAATGTCAAGTTTTATGCTCTCGGGGAAAAAGGTAACAGTTTCATTTTAAGTACTTGATGTGCTATCATAGTGAGGAGAGGGTGGGTTGCTTTAGGAAAATTACTAAGATTGATCATGTATCTCTCCTTTGATATATATATATATATATATATATATATATGACAATTGAATAACGTTAATGTTTTAAATAATCTAGTGGGATATCAATCATGATGTAATATATATATTCTCGTCTTCAACTTTACAGTAGTCTATTGATAGTTGTTCGTTCGGTCGCCAGGCCATCTTCATGTGGGTTTCCTTGTTCATTTGCACTCATAATTCATTGAATGTTTTAACTATTAATCCACTATTGATTTAGATTTGTGCTTCAATGCATTGACAGAAGAACCTATAATAATTTACTGGCTATGAGCACATTTTGACCAAAGAAAATTTTTCATTGCTTTTGGTATTCAATAATTCGTCAAATTAGATCATTTAAATTTCTGCGTTAAAAAATAAAATAATTAATAAAAAAGCATGACTACGATATATGGAGGGAATTCATTATGTTGTTATCAAGTACTCATCAAACTAATGCATGTTTGGTTTAACATCACAATTAATTCGTTGTTATCAATTGCTTTACATTGTTAAATTTTAAAGTGCCAATTCCTTTCTCACATGAATACTTCAAGGCAAAATTGCCTTTTAATTAACTCAGATTTTTCTAATTATGTCCATAGTGTTAACAAGAAACATAACGATCAGTTCGTTTACGGATAATATTGCAACAATTTTGACACTTGTATATAATTGGTTTGGATGAAAGGAAATTAAAATAGATGAAAGAGAATTCTGAGAGAAAATTGTCAGACATAGTGATCATTTTTTTTTTTTACAGTTTTTAATTATTTTCTCTCCTGGTGTTATTTTCCCCTATCCAGTGATCTAAACTTATAAGGGTTAAGGAACGATCGATATATTGCTCCCATGTGTACTTTAAGATAACCAGTACATTTAACCCATTTTTATATTTAGCCAGGAAACAGAATTTGTATTTTAAGACATGTGAGATCCGGTATTTTAGATTTTACAAAACTATTTTGAATTTTCAAATTAAAATTTCATCATGCCTATTCCCATGCTGAGATAACTTTTCATATTTTTTAAAAAAAATTATATTTACACATCATTTTTTTCTTGAAAGTTGCTAGCCCTAATTTATTTTCCACACCTGTTCTTCTCATGTTTTATTATGATTAATATGATTTTCATTAAAGACAATACTTGAGATATGAAATAAAGTATTAAATATTAATCAAACTTCATATGAGCCGCCGCTTCACTCAGGAAGTTGATTTTTGAGAAAATATCAACCAAGGATCACTCAAATAAATTTATATCATTTAAAGATCAATAGCTTTTAAAATTGCACTCTAGTTTATTGGTCTTTAGATGAAATTAAGTTTTTATTTGAAATGATTGAATTATTCCTAAAATTTAAAATTTTTTTAAACAAGTTACCTTCACTGTAATATTGAGAAATAATTGGTAAAGATAGCCATGGAAGCTTTGATTCCAAGACCCTTTAGCCATCTAAAAAAGTGAATAGCTACAAAACCACTAAGCTCTCTTAATTATATATGGCAAAAAAGAATATATGTAATAACACAAACTTCTAATGCAAACCTCTATAAATGTTATATAGTTTTTTATTAACAAGTATCTATTCAAATTTTAATAACAACACATTTGAAATTAATAAAAATTCATTTAGACTTTAACAAGTTAGAAAAACTTATAAAATGAGCTTAATTATACAAGTGTTAATTATTCATTAATAAATATTTATTCAAATTTTGACAACAACTAATTCAAAATTAATAAAAATCCATTTGAGTCTTAATAAGCTAGAAAAACTGATAGAATGAGATTAATTATATAAGTGTTAGTTTTTCATTAACAAATATCCATTCAAATTTTGACACAACTCATTCAAAATTAACAATAATTCATTTAGTATTCCATAAGTTAGAAAAACTGATATGATGAGTTTTACTATACAAATATTAATTAGTTCTTCATCAACAAGCATTTATTCATAATTTGATAACAACTCATTTAACGGTTTGGAAAAACTAGCAACATAGGTCTAGTGGAATAAATTCACCAACATAAACAAGTCATTTGAATTCTGACAACAATCCACTCATAGTTAACAAGCAGTTTGTTCCATTAGACCTGTATGTGCTGTCAATTTTTGCAACTTGTTAATGCTCAAATGAATTATTGTCAAAATCTGAATGGATATATGTTAATGAAAGACTTATACTTATATAATTAAACCCATCCTGTTAGTTTTCCTAACTTATTAAAGTTCAAATGAATTGTTATTAATTTTGATTGTGTTGTTGTTAAAACTTGTTAGATATTTGTTGTTAAAGAACTAGCATTTATAGAAGCTTGGGTTAGAAGTTTGGGCTTACTATATATATTCTTTTTTGCCACATATAATTAACAGGGCTTGGTAGCCATTTAAGGTTATGGGATCATACTTCACTGGCCAGCTTCGCTAATTATTCCTTAATAAATTATCACCAATAGTGGGGTGACTTTTTTTAAATTTCTTCAAATTTTAGATGTAATTCGATCATTTCAAGTAAAAAACTAATTTCATCTATGTAGACTTTGGTACAATTTCAAATTTTATTGGCTCTTGAATGAGGTTTAGGTTGATATTTTCCCTTGGCTTTTTGTGGTGCACGTAAGTAAATGACAGTAATATTAAAATATACCAAAACAGAATGCAAGCCGATGTGCACATCATTATAAAATAAGACATCATATTTTAATAAAAATAAAATTTTATTAATAACTTTGTTTAACATTACCATGCCTATAATTATATTTTCTATCTTCAATATATTTTTTCACTAGTGAAATATTTAATAAAGAACTTTTGAAAGTTTATATTTTTACTATAACAAATTTGTAAAGTATATTTATCAATTTTTATTGGAATACGTAATTTTATCTGAAAAGCTTTTATAAAATAGGATAAAAGAAGTATATTATTGGGCTTCTTTTGACTAAAATTTTGATGTATTTCTTTTTAAGTTCATGAATAATTGATGGAAAATAACTTTTTTTACGGTATAAATGAAAAATCAATTCGGTGATGAGCATCATTAATTATTCCCATTACTGTAAAGAGCACAAAGATCGGTCGGTCACCATCTCCCATAATTCTTTTTTTTTGGCACATAATACCACGTCTGATTAGATCTAAAGTATTAATGATTCAATCAAGGTTAGGTTTTTGTTAGAAAAAAGTAAAACCAAAACATGTATAATGTGACCACACTAACAAAAAACATGCCCGTTCTTTTCAGAATATATATTATAATGAGCAATAGCTAATGTCTTACGTATGTGTGTTAATTCGAATAAGGAGTGGCTACTCAGAAATCGAGAAGCTCAATATATAAATTTTTACTTTTTATTATACATATTAATTATTAAATTTAATTTTATTCTATGTAAGACTTCTCACATCATTAAGTTCACTCACACTTACATATTTTAACAATTTTCTTCTTAAGTGTGAGTCAATTTATTCTCAAGTTCGTGTATAAAACATGCAACAAGGTGAATTATTTTTACCATTTTCTTTATCGACGTGAATTAGACAAAACCTTGAGTCAATGAATTATGCAAAATGATGTCTATTTTTTGGCTGAAAAAATTAAAATATGCAAAATATAATGAGAACCTTAGTATATCGTGAGAAATTTTTTATTATATTCTCTGATTCGATCAATTAATATACTCAACATTATTATATGTGACAGAAAAATGGGCATCCATTCCCTTCAAGAATCTTTTAATTTCCTGTCTTTAATTTATGAGAATAATAAATAACAAGTGTGCTCAATCATACAAGATATCTTATTCAGGCACGATCGTTATGGTTTTGTTTTTTATCCATAATTGTAAAGAACATCATGACATTTGCATATATCAACATATTACGACTGCCCCACTTGGATTCTCCTTTCTCTTTTCTCTTTCTCTTTCCTTTTAAAAAAAATATCCGTGTCATTCTATATATGATATTGTGTTGTCCACTTATTAGTTACATTAACACGGTTTAAACATTGGGTTTAAGTATTTTATAATTTATAAAACAATTTCTCTTATTTTCCTTACTTATTAATTTGATCCATTAAATTTGTCTTAACTTTTAAGACAAAAGGAAGAACATAAATGAAAAAAAATGCAAGACTTATATGAAAAAAAAAACATACAATAGAGTGTACAAAGACCGGGTTAGCTATCAACCTGGTGCTAGATCCTTATGTATTGAGATCAAGATCAAGCTAACCTAGTATAAGTAGACTGGGTTTTGGTCTTGTATTGACAAAATATCAAACAAATTTAAAAAATAACAAGTAAATTTTATATTAAATTATGTCAATCTAAACTATTTCCTTAAAAAATAATATTATGATCAAAAGAAATATTTTTAAAATTTTTAAAACTCAACAACACAATTTGTCATTACATAATATTAAGTTATGGAATCAAATTAAAATTTTAAATAAAAATAATATATTGATTTCTTAAAAATTTTCATAATAACAATAAAGTAATTTACTAGATATGATCTTTTGAAAAAAAAACAATCTCACAAAATCAATTAATATTAATAAAATTTTATAATAATATATGTACATTAAGGCAAGATTGGCTTTTGACTAAACCTAGGGTATAACCCAACCAGGTCATTGAGACCAACCAAGTTTCTCATGTAAGACCAAACCTACCAGGTTGCCAAATCGGTTGAATACATGGGGAGAGGGGACTCTCTGTTTTTTTTTTTTTTTTTTCCTCTCTTCTTTTCTATCCACTTCCCCCCACCTTCACCCTTCATTAATTCTATCACTAAAAAAATTATTTAACAAAATAATATGAAGGGTGAAGATTGGGAAAGTGAAGAGAAAAGGAGAGAGAAAAAGAAGAGTCACCCTTCCCTCATACCTGAAAAAGAGACAAGATAATAGAGGCAATGATGATGTCGTGATAGAATGATTACAATATTGCACAATTATAACAATGTTATTTATCCTTCAAATTATAAAAAATTAATTATGTATAATTATAAACCTTTAAAGATTTAATTAATATATATTAAATTTTAGAGACCAATAATGAGACAAACTTAAGAGATCAAAGGTTTTCTTATCCATTATGATTAATTCCATCTAGATCATAGAGATAAAATTAGATATATTATTTCTTATGTTTTAATATGAACCATTCATATTAAATTTAGACTATTCAAACAATACAATATTTGAGAAAATAAATTATTGTCATCGTAAATGTTCACCTAAATCAGTAAACCGGCTCTTTAATTATTGACCTGATCGCTTCTTCTTTTATTTGTGCTGTTTAATTTAATGAAAAGTTATTCACACTTATTAATTATCGCTCACATCCCATTCCACTTTTGCTCCCAAAATTAGCAATGAGTGGTTATTGTTGTTACTTTTATCTTGTTAATCAAAATCCATTTAATTATTTTTTAATTTAGAATTATGATTTAAGTTAGATTCTGAATTTTTTTTTTGTTTTTAATTTGGCCAAGATATAGATTCTGAATCTTAAATAACTAAAAATTACCTCGCGCTCAGAAGTACCCTAAAGAACTATATATATAGTGACATCAAATCACTTGGCTAATCAGTAATTCTCTAAAATGACAAACAATAGACCAATGGGTGCGGGTGTGAATTTCGTATATTAACGTCCATTTCAATGTACAGTACACAAAAGAAAGTATCAGTGTGATGTTTGGCCTATAAATAGGCAGAGATTAGAGAGCCTCTCCGCACACAATCAACTTCAAATTCTTAAACTTCAAACTTTCTCACCACTTGATTCACCATGACACTTTCAGCTTTTCCTCTCATTCCTCTCCTCTTCCTTTTGTTGGTATGTTTTTCTTCCCTTCCACTTCTCTTCATTTAAATTTGTAAATTATAATGATTATTGATTGAATTCTTAAACAATTAACAAATATATATTACTGGCTGAAAATAACAAAGCAGCAATATCCCCATTTCAAACTTAAGATCCATGAATAAATGTTCAATTATGTTGTTGAATTACTGTTTCCAGCAGGTAGTATTTTTTAATTCATTCTTGCTTTTGTAACGCGTGTTTGCAAATTAATTTTTTTGATCTCCCATTTATGACCAAATTAATAATTTAATCTGTACTTAATTTTTCAGTAGTATTTAAACTTCATATAGCATTTAACGTAGAAGAAATTTGAGGCATCCAATATGATAGATACACGTGTAATTGACAAATTGTTGATAAAATTGAATGCCTCTGCTATTTGAAATCACGGACGTTTGTTATCAAATATTTAGATGTCTATATTTATCAAATGCGAAATTAAGATCCTCATTATAATTTATAAGACGCAATATTTAATATATACATTTTAAGATCTCTTGTCATGCAAGAATTTCCTCAAATATTTCAAAGCAAGTGAGAATTCAAAACTTTCATATTACTCTGATGTGTCAGTATTGTAACTAGTAAGTTGTCTTTCATGTACCAATTGAAAGCAGAAGTCCTAAATCTGATCAACGGTTCCCCCCCCCCCCCTTGCGGAAAATATATAGTTGGCTGGTACAGGAGCCTCAAGAAAAGATCCAGGTGAATACTGGAGAATGGTGATGAAAGACGAGGCCATGCCTCAAGAAATAAAAGGCCTTCTTCTTCATCATAATCCTCTGATTCATTCTGAAACAAAACCTCACTCCCGCAATCATCTTTTTCAAAATCTGAATCACAAATGCGATGAAGATGATCATCATCATGATCAACCTCTTGTTACAACACAAAAGATGTTCGTACAAGAAGAGATTGAAGCCATCCCCAGTGTTACTGCTCATAACAATGATTATTTACCTACGCCTGGTACTTCACCTTACAACAACGGCCATCTTGGCACTACAGGGAAAAATTTCATCAAAGATTTCGAACCTCGGCCTAATATCTCGGCTTATAACGATGACAAGATTGGATCCGAGGAAAAGAACAAGTTTGCAAAAGATTTTGAGCCAAGACCAAATATCTCAGCTTACAGCAATGACAAGCTTGAAAATGAAGATAAGAAGAAATTTGTGGAAGATTTTGAGCCAAGGCCAAATGTCTCAGCTTACAATGACGACGATGTTGTCGGAGTCGTGGATGAAAAGAAGTTTGCAGAAGATTTTGAACCAAGACCCAACGTCTCAGCTTACGGCAATGAAGAGGTTGAAAATGAGGAAAATAAGAAGTTTGTGAAAGATTTTGAACCAAGACGAAGTGTGTCAGCTAACGATGAGATCAAAGCAGAGACAAAGAAGGTTGTGAAAGATTTTGAACCCAGACCAAACGTGTCAGCTTATGGGGATGATGATATCAAGAATGACTTTGAACCCAGGCCTAACGTGTCTGCTTATTCTGAATGAATATAATGAACAAGAATATATAGCCACTGGCTAGATATATGGAGATGCATGATCAATAAGGTTATACACGTATGGTGCATCCTTACATGTATAATTATTTCTATGTATGTACATGCACGGTGTGGTTTGGTGTGCTTCAATTTTCACAATTGTTAAGAACATATTGCGTAAACTTGTGGGTTATATTATAAATAAATCTGTCAGACGTTTCTGATCTCCTTTAAATTCTTTCTCCCCTTGCTATGCTCTATTATTTTTTTTATTGGAATATTTCCTTCCATTATGCATGTCGAACTAATTACTACTCTCCACAATAATATATAGTTGAAGAATTAGTAAGTGTCTTACTACAAGATTTTACTCAATTTTTATCACTTGTGCTGTAGTTCATCGATCAGAACAAGAGTATCAGAGAGGAAAACAAAATAAAACAGAGTATATAGAATATAATAATTAATAAAAATAAAAATAACCTTTACTTATTGTTGAAGATTGCTTCATACACTGTTTACGTGGATGTATAGATTCAAGGCTACTGTGTAAATCATATTTATTTATGATTTAACAGAATAACATAACTATCTAATTAACTTGACATGACCAATTTAACATCTCTTATTACCCAAAGGTTGTGCTCCTCAGAGTTGAATATATATAGAGTAGTGAAGAATTTTTTTTTGTCCTTTAACTTTTCTTGCGTGTAAGGGAAGTGGGTGTCTTAAATTTGATTTTGAATCATTTTTATGCTTGAATAGTAAAAATTCAACACCTCCTTTTCTTACCATTCACACGCCGTTTATTGATCATTATGGACATGTTTTGTTGATTTTTTTTATTTATTTACGTAGATATGTACAAAAGGGTCAGACTTCACTATATCTTTTAGAATATTTTGTTATAATATTGAAAACAAGTTAAACTATAGTGTGCGTGTGTGTGTGTAATTAACATGTTTAAATTTTTGAAAGACAAACAGTTGTGAAACAGAGTGAAGTGACAATAGTCAAAAGTATTCAAAGCTCACGAGAAAAGCCTTCTGAAAAACAAAATTCGAGAAGCATGTTGCTTAAGGATCATTCTTCAAAAACAATCCCAACAAGGTGCAAGCAGAAAATAAAGACTCTGATGTATCATACGACTAATAACAACCAAAAAGATTTCTGTAATGATTATACAAGAGAGGTTCTTAATCATTAATTTGTAACATTAATATTTAATGGTTTTTTAAATTAAATATACTTGTCACATCTCAGTACAACACAGTAAATATACTTCATCATATATATATATATATATATATCAGTGATACAAACCTCATGTAGTGGCTTTTTTTTTTTTTTTTTACCTGAACCTCATGTAGTAGCTAGAGATATTACCAAATTTATAAATATAGTTTTTGCCCCCGAAGTCAACCCTTATTGACAGTTGGGTCAAGGTGAGTGCTTGACAGAGGGCTTCGTCTTTTCAGAGACATCATGGGAGTGATATATTATAACATTAGGTTTTATATCAAAGTCCCTATCAAAGCGATCCTTCTTATTTTCCGCTTCTGATAGTTGTGATGCAGAATCCTGAACAAGCAGGTCTTTAATGGCTTCCGGCACACGTTGATTCTCCACCATGTTCTTCCAATAATCTCCCGCGTCTTTTCTTGCACAACTGAGGCCGACGAACTGTTCAGAGTTTAACAATAAGTTTTAGTATCCACAAACTGAAAGCTTATGAATAATGAGTAATAGAGAACGTGTGGAAAATATATATATATATATATATATAGAGAGAGAGAGAGAGGAGGTGGAGAAGAAAGCTTACCAGGAGAAGAGAGAAGAAGATGATGCAGAATGTTGCAGAGATGGATTTCATGGTGTTGTTCTCTAACTTGGGTTGGATTTGTGAGTTTAAGGATTGAGGTGCGACTGTGTGAGGTTAAGGATTAGCTGACTATATCTCCTTTTTATAGGGGGAGAAAAGTGTAGTATGTTTACGGAAATGATAAATGTGGTTGAAAAATAGAGGTGCGGGCATTGAATGGTTGGTTTTCAAAGGGCAAAATAATGGAAGGCAAAGATAAGGTAAAGAGTCAAAGGTTTTCCATTCGCTCTGTTTATAATATAGCATCATTTGGTGGAAACAGATATCAGTTCTTTTAGGTCTTACCAACATGTCCTAATTCGTAAAATCGTATCTTCACTTGATGCATGACTCAATCTTTTGAACTAATCTATGTCTTCAAGTTATTATAACCCTCATTCTACATTAAATTTCATAACTAATTCACACTATATATTCGTGTATGTGTGTGTGTTACTTTGATATTAATTAATATTAAATTTCATGTTTTTTTTATTGTAGACATGTGTTTTTCTATTAAAAGCAATATTTTTAAGCCACGATTGTCAAAAGGCTGAAAATAAGCCAAGGGCTCATGGCCTAGCCTGGCTAAGCTATCAAGCAAAACTTAAATCTAAGTTTTGGATTGGATTGATGAATTAATTGAATTAAATTTTAGATTTTAAACCATGCATATAAAATTAGTTGTTTGAACAGTGTAAAAAATTTTAAGGTTATGGGGGCCCCTCAAAAGTTTTTTAAAAGGAACACTGGGTACCTTTATGTTTTAATTGAACCAATATTGTCTTGAAACTTTTAAAAAGAGTGTAATTTTACCCTACAATTAACATTGTCTAATCATTAATTTTTATTTTGACTAGATGTTTTACACGTGTCAACCCCTCCTTCTATCTGCACTACTATTCTTCCTCCCTCCCTCTCCTTCTCTGTATTTGACTTCCTCTCCATCTATTGCCATACCTTATGATGCATTATGAGACAACTCTGTAAAGGCAATTACATAGTTTGGTATCTTCTTGGCAGATGAATTCAACCACACTGTGGGAATAGTATCTTCCTACAAAGGTCCTAGGCTTAGCTCCTGACTTTACTGGCTCTCCCATTATAAGATTTGTAAAATAGATTCTCACCCTTTATTACCATGATAGACAATTTTTTAACATGGTAAGTATTTAAATAGTTGGAGTTTCAATTAACAAAGAATCATTTATTAAGGGAAAAAAAAGCAATTTATAAATTGAGATTGTTACATCAGATAGAAGTTCTCCCTTAGTTATTGATATTTGATTACCAGTAATCATAAGAGTAGGCACAAGAGTACAATCTAACATGTTAAATCTCTTCAAGAGATCTAAGGTATACTTGCTCTGATTAAGGGCACGTTTGAATTTTAATTGGGTATAATTGATTATGAAAATCATTGATTAATATGATTGATTTATTTTATAATTGATTATGTTGTAATGCAATTTGTTTATATATTATTTTTTTAAATTGATTTTGACAGCATTAATAATGTTTGGATGATTTAGTTAGAATCAATTTTAATTGTATAAATTATCATAAAGGACATTATTTTTTAAAATTAAATTATTAATAAAATTGTATATAATATTATTAAGTTTGTTAAATAGTAAAATATATTATTTAACTTATATATCTGATTAATTATAGAAATTTAAACATTATTAATATTAACAATTTAATTTATGTAAATAAATAACTAAATATATATAAGGTCACCTAATATTTGGCGTGGCTACCTTCTTTGATTAATCTAGAAAATTGAGTTTGGATCTTCAACATTGATTAGGTTAAGCCAGGGGGAGAGAAGTCAAAAATGAATTTGACATGCACACAAACCAAAATGAATATGGCCTTCGATCTTTGGTGATGCCAGGCATGTCATCACTAAGCTCTTCCTTTTGCTTTCTTCTCAATTTCTCACTTTTGTTGAAACAATCTCTCATTGCCTTGGTTGCGAAGTGAGAGGAGCATCTAAGGAAGTTTTTGATTCAGGGGAAACTAGAGTTTAACTAAGAGGCAACAATAGCAACGGAGAGCACACCATCTGCTTCTACTTTATATCCCACGACTGCATCTTCCTTGGCCTCATCTTCATGTGGTGCACCTTCACCTTCTTATTTGACCTTGACAAGCACTTTGTTAGCTCGACAGACTATGACAAGCTCGATGGTAGGAGGATGATAGTAGGGAGAGGAGATCAAATTTGTTCACAAGAGAGGGGAGATCGAGAAACAACTCTAAAAAAGTAAATAGAGAGGGTAAAAATGGGTTGGTGGAATTTGCTAACAAATTATTTATTATCCTAACATTAAAATGAATAAGATAAGCAAGTAGAGCTAGCTTAACACAAAAATTAATTTTAACCTCATTAATTGATTATCTCATATTATGTTCTTTAGGTAATTTTCTTTTAAAACCTGATTTCCTCTGAAAAAATTGATTCGAAAGGCAAAACAAACAGGCAGTAAGAAATGGACCAGAATGATCTCTGAACACCTTAATTCCTAGAAAAGTAATAAAGAGGTCTAAGATCTTTTAAGGAGAACAAACTACTCAATTTTTGAATAAAAGTTCTTCAAATATTTAAAATTATTTCCAATTACCAGAATATCATCAACATATATTATCAACATGAATATAGTCAATCCTTAATTTTGAAGAAAGAATAAATAAATATCACTCTTTGCATTTTGAAAACCCTAATCCAACAAAGTAAGTCTTAAATAATCAAACCAGGCTTAAGGAGCCTGTTTCAAACCATAAATAGCTTTAACCAACTTGTATACATGATTTGGGACCAACAAATCCTTTAGGTTTCTATATGTACACATCTTGTTGGAGATACTTATTGAGAGATGCGTTGTTAATATCCAACTGACAAATCTCCTAATTAAACGTAACAATAATCTGAGCATGATGCAAATAGTGGGAGCCTTGACAACAAGACTAAATAAATCATTGTAGTCTACTTTAAGAGCTTGCCGGAACCCTTTCATGACCAACCAAGCTTTCCAATACTGAAAGGATCCATCTGGATTGGAATTAGTCTTAAAAAGACCCATTTACAATTAACAATCTTCTGGGTTCCATTAAATGGAACAAGTGTCCAAGTGTGATTTTATTGCAATGCTTCAAATTCATTTATCATTGCTTGTTTCTAAAGAGGCAATTGAAATGCATTGTGAGTCAATGTGGGTTCAAAGATCTGATCAAGCATCTTCGAATCCTCTCCTAAAAGAAGGCCAACAAACGGGAATTTAGGTTTTAAAAATACCAAATTTGGACTTGGTGATCATTTGATGTCCAAGATGTTGGGCTTTTTTGTCATTAAAGTGTTTAGGCCTGCTACAATATATTGGAACATGCTTTGTGGGTTGCTATCAACAACAAATGACTCAAGTGGGCAAGTAGGAGACATAACCTAAAGAGGTGATCCAAGACACCTCGCTTAAGAAGGCTATGACTACACAAGTGAACTCAAAGGTAACAACGACAAAGTAGAAAAAGAAACTTCTGATGTCGGAGGAATAATTAGAACAAGAACAGATGAATCATCTATAAAGCTCAATCTTCTATTAAGAAAACTTAAGACAAAGGGAAAAGTAGATGAGTCAAAAACCACATGCCTAGATATATAAACTTGTCCTATCAAACTAAGGCACTTATATCCCTTCTGCTATGATGCATAGCCTAGAAATACACATTTCTAAGTATGAAGTTGAAACTTGTGGTCATATTATGGCTTGAGACACAAATAGCAGGCGCACCCAAAATGGTTGCATAGTTTACAATCCACCTTTGTTTTAAACAAGCAAAACAGAGGTATGTGACCATAAAGAACTAGTGCAGGAAGATGATTTATCAAATAAACCACAACTTGAAAGGCATCAACCTAATAAATAAGAGGCATGTGTGCTTGTGCTAGAAGAGTTAATCCTATTCCACAATATGTCTATGCTAACACTCAAATTTGCCATTATAAGGGGAACTACAAGGACATGTAAATCTCATGTTAATACCATGAGCTTAAGCGATTGGAATAAAAGGCTTATACTCAAATCCTGCATCACATTGTAAATTTTTAATTGTGATGCTAAACTAATTCTCAACTAAGGACGAAAATGGTTAAACGCATTCACTGCTTCACCTTTATGTTGTAGTGGATAGAACCACATAAATCAACTAAAATCATTGATTAAATGACTATAGTACCAAAGGCCATGGATTGACTGCACTGACACTAGGTGGAATTTCAAATAATTAAGATTTAAAGAAAATTTGAAATTTAAAAAAAATTATAATAAAACATGCGTTTAATCCAAATCCAAAGACTTCTTTATATATCCAAATGGAACATTTTAGGTTCAAATCCAAATCATTATGCATCCAAACTCATCCTTACATTAATTAACTATTATTATCATGAATATGTGGGCAAAAATAACTATAATTATAAATATAAGTAGATATTATTTCCTCCCTTATATAAATGTAAGTAGATATATATATATATATCTAATATATCAAAATATAATTAAATTAAATTTTATTAAACTATTAAAATAAGTAAATAGACTTGCAAGGATTTGCAATATGGCCTGTCTAAACTCTGGTTTGACCTCTTTAACAAAAAAAAAATTAGGCTTAAGCTTATAATTATACTTATTTACATAAATAGACAAGAGCAGTGTTCAACCAAAACTTGGCCCAACTCGGTTTATTTTCACCTCTTGTCAACGGGCAATAAATATAAGCACCTTTGCTAACAAGGATTCCAATATTGGTTTATTATGTTGTAAAAAGATTAATCCTTTTAGTCAAACCCAATCCTAGTAGTTAAAGTTGATGATATTGATGATTGATGATTAATATCATGCATCCAGTTTTGATATGAAATATGATAAATTTTGTTACGCTTCAAATTCAATATCATAAAGATTGAATATAAAAACACCTGCTAGCAATTATAATCAAATTATTTAATTTTTTTTTTAACAATTGAATCTTCATTCGATTGAAGTGGAGGAAGATTTGCTGTAGAAAAGACAACAATCTATTTCTGTAATTAAAACAGATT